AGATGCTAAAGAAATTTTGATACCATCGTCGGAAAGAATACGCATAGGATGATGCAGATAGCTACTGGTCACAAATAAATTTCATAGTAAAAATTTTTGGAAGTTTGATTAATCGTGCGTTTCGTGGATTTTGGCATCCGATATTGGAGATTAAGACTAGGACGCACAGTCTGGTGCTCTGACCGCAAATGTACAACCAAGTATATAAGATTCAAGGGCCAAGTACGGTTACGAACTTAAGTGAGAGCGGCATGGTTTCCAAAATCACCACAAGAAACCACACTGCTTTCTCTGGGATGAAGAGAGCGAACAAATCACTATGATATCTATTGCAGGCGAAATAAATAAAGCTAATTACAAAAGGGTAGACCACAGTTCTCACTTTAAGCGAAACAATAGAATAAAAAAATGATGATTAATTTAGTTGACTGGCAGATACTTACCTCTTTGCTTTTTCTTTAACACTTTTTACAAGATTCACTGCATTTCTTGCTCGACGGGGGCCAAGCCGAGCATCGAACTCAAAGTCGGATTCCGAATCACGCTTCCACCGCTTTGCAACCGCCCGCTTGCGTTTGGCTGGAGCACGTCTTTTCTTTGCTGTCACCTGGGATGCAGCAGCATTCTGTTCGACTTTCACCTCGGTATTCGCACCCCCGGTAGGTAAGGCAGACACACCCGTGGGAGCGGCCTCTTTTGTCGGCGAGCACACAGTTGTCACTTTTGTTGCAACCGCGCGCGTCGGACTTGTAATTAAGGCTGCTTGTGGTGAGTTGTGAGCAGGAGAAGATATTTTGGGAGAAATCTTAGTCGGCTCCAGTTTCGGTGCTATTAACGAAACCGACATCTTCTCTAAGATAGGAATACCATTAGTATGCGACTGTCTCAGGGGTACATCCTCACAACTTGACGAGGTGGAAGTAGAGGATGATGTAGACTCGGATGTGCAGGAAGGAGACTGAGTTCGAATGCGTGTCCTTTTCTCGAAGGGATCATAGTCAGCAGGCTTACTTGGTCCATCCACCGAACTTGTTAGGTTTGGCGGAGCGGTAGGACGGTTGTGGTGGGCAGAGGAATATGACAAAGATGGTGTAATTTCCTCCTCATCAGCAATAACAGGTGGCGCAGGAGAAGCGCGAGAACTATTGAAGTTGGAAGAATTTGTAGGAGAAAGACTGGCGGGTGAGAGGGCCG